GCGCGGGGAGAGAGGGCAGAGCGTGGGGCGCGGGCGACCGCGGCCGCCCGCCAAGCTAGGGCCCAGAGGAGGACGCATGCACCATGCCAGACAGACAGACAGACAGACAGGAGCGAGGCGGGGCGCAAGTCTGTGTGGGAGGAAATGGCATTCCTGCAAAAGAAAAGGTCGGTGCAGTGGAACGGGACAAACGACACGCGCGGCTGCAAGCACCCACCCTGCCCGGCCGTCGGGAAGCTGTCCACAAACCAGTCACGTGGAGGCCTGCCGCCCCTTCCACCACTGCAGCAAGGACAGCAGCCAGCCAGCCATCAACCATCCATCCATCATCCACCCACCCACCCACCCATCCATCCATCATCCACCTATCCATCCATCCATCCATCCACCCACCCATCCATCCATCCATCATCCATCCATCCATCCACCTATCCATCCATCCACCCATCCATCCATCCACCCATCATCCATCCACCCACCCATCCTCCATCCATTCACCCACCCACCCATCCATCCACCTATCCATCCACCCACCCATCCATCCACCCGTCCATCCATCCATCCATCCACCCGTCCATCCATCCTCCATCCATCCATCCATCCTCCATCCATTCACCCACCTATCCATCCATCCACCCATCCTCCATCCATCTACCATCCATCCATCCACCCACCCATCCATCATCCATCCATCCACCATCCATCCATCAACCCACCCATCATCCATCCAACCATCCGTTCACCATCTACCCATCCAGCCAGCCATCCACTCACCATCCACCATCCATCCACTCACCATCCAACATCCATCCACCCATCCATCCATCAACCCACCCATCCACCATCCATTCATCATCCATGTACCATCCACCCATCACCCATCCATCCACCCACCCACCCTCCACCTATCCATCCATCTACCTATCCATCCATCCACCTATCCATCCATCCACCTATCCATCCATCCATCCACCATCCACCCATCCACTGTCCATCCACCCACCACCCATCCACCATCCATCTACCATCCGTTCACCCACCCCACCATCCATCCACTCACCCACCCACCATCCATCCACCCATCTATCCATCCGCCTATCCATCCATCCACTGTCCATCCACCATCCATCCATCATCCATTCCATCATCCATCTACCATCCATTCACCCATCCATCCATCCACCCATCAACCATCCATCCACCATCTATCTATCCATTCATTGTCCATCCACCCACCCACCATCTATCCACCCATCCATCCATCCATCCACTCACCCACCATCCATCTACCATCTATCCACCCATCCATCATCCATTCATCCACCATCCATCCATTCACCTACCATTCATCCATCATCCACCGACCATCCATCTACCCACCCACCGACCATCCAACTATCCATCCACCCACCCATCCATCCATCTACCCATCCATTTATCCTCTATCATCTATCCCATTTATCTATCCACCCATCTGTCTCTTATCCATCCATCCATCCATCCATGTACTATCCATCTAGCCAGCTATCTATCCATCCACCTACCCATCTGTCTGTCTGTCCATCTACCTGTCTACCTATCCATCCATCCATCTACCTATCAATATCCATCCACTTATCTATCGATCCACCTATCTATATCTACACCCACATCTAACTTGTCTATCAATCTATCCATCCGTCTATCTATCCATCTATGTCTGTCTATCCATCCATCTACATATCTATCTACACATATATCTAATTTGTACAATAACCCTGCAATGTAGTTATCATTTGAATTAAAAGCGTTCATTTGGACAGTGAAACGCAAGAGAAATTAATGAGTTGGTCTGGGAAGATTCAGAACCAGACGGGGCCGGTTCCTTCCCTTTCCGTGGATTCTAAAACTCCTTCCTTCACTATGGCTCCCTGCAAAACACGGACCCCAGACCCAAGGGCCGCCGGTGCAGAGAAGCGCGGGAGCGTGGGAGTCTCTGAACTCTTCCCTCCTGCGGAACACGCTTGCCCAATGTCTATAGCCGGGTTCCAGAAACCTCTCTCCAATACGTAGAAGGGTTAGATCTGGACGGCCATTCTTTTCCAGACTCGCTTTACAAACCACAACCACCACAAACAGCAAATGTTCAAGACGCTTTCCTAGCTGAGATCAGACACGAGCAGGCCCTTCCTTCGGTAGCTCCGTAAGTGACCCCATAGCAGGGCTACAGCCTCGCGTGCCAGCGCCTGCCTGCAGTGTCGGAAAGTGAATGGCAAGACAGCAATCGGGTCTAGCTTTCACCACGGGAAACCAAGATAAGCCTCTGAGATCCCCGGGGGCGGGGTGGGAGCAGCCGCCTACTTGTCTTCATTGATCCGCGCCTTATGCTCTGAGCTTTCAGTTTAATGAGCTCTATCCAGCCGCCGCATCTGTCTGCAAAGGAACTGTCATCTACAGACGTGGCTGAGGACACACACAAAAGAAACAAAAAGAAAAACAAAGGAAAAAAACATGGATGACGTCTCTTACTGCTCAGAACACTGCTTTCCAACGCTGTCATTTAACTGTGACTTTAAAAAAAGAAAACCACCAAAAAGATTTAAAGAAAAAAACAACAACAACAAAAAAAGGATGACCCTATTCAACTGAGGGAGGAGGCGCGAAGGGTTCAGTGTTAGACCCCGAGTTGTCCAAAACCGAGTTCTTGATTGGCTGAGTCGGGTTTGTTTGTTTTGGGGGGGGGTGTGGTGGTGTGGCTGTGGTCTCTGGGGATGGGGTGGGGGGGAGAGGGTCCCAGATAAATAGCAACAAAAGAACCCCAGTTGGGCTTACCTTGTTTTCCATTCGTGTGTGTGTGTGTGTGTGTGTGTGTGTGTGTGTGTGTGCCAGAACTGGGGCTTGAACTCAGGGTCTCCAACTGCTATGGAGCTGTGATGCCCAAGGCTGATGCTCTACCCCTTGAGCCACAGCTCCACCTCTGGCTTTTCGGTGGCTTTTAGCTGGTGGTAAGAATCTCAGGGAACAGTCCAGCCTTAATTGGCTTTGCATTGGGATCCTTAAGATCTTGGCTTCCTGAGGGGTTGGGATTACAGGCGTGAGCCACGCTACCTAGCTCCCTGCTTTTCATTCACTTGGTTCTCCTTATCTCCTCTTTGAGGGTTGCTTTCTGATCAAAAATGAAAACAATACTGCAACTTCTCTCCTATGGAAATCAAGAGAGGCGACGGGCATCCCACCCTGAAGTTTAGTTTCACAGCAAAACCTTTTCCCTAGGCCTTTCCGCTCAAGCCTGGAGCTCTGCCACTTGAGCCACAGCTCCCATCCGGCCTTTTGCTGGTTCGCTGGATTTTCCTGCCTGGATGTGGCTTCGAATCTTCAGATCTCAGCCTCCTGAGTAGCTACGGTGACAGGTGTGAGCCACCAGCGGCTGAAGTCCCAAACAATGACTTGGATCTTGTTGAGTTAAATAATAATAACCATGCGGAAGGGTTTCCTTTTATATTTTTTAGAAATGAACAAAACTTTAAAGGAACTATTTAATAAGTCCCCCCCACTCCCCACCAAAAAAGCCCATGTCCCTAACTCCAGGGACAGTCTATCCCCGGTCCGGCTCCTTCCTATGGCCTGATCACTGGCTCTTCACCACTTTTGATGAATAGGTGCTCAGTGAAAAGAAACTCAGCTGTCTGGACATCTGGTCTACCTGAGTTAGCGCTTGCTCTCTGCACCTGCACGTTAGAGACAAGAGTACCAGCCTGCATCTCTGCTCCTCGGTCTTAGCATCTTCCACTAGCTGGAGGACCAGTGGTAAGGCTGGCTTCACTGTGCCAGCAACCTGAATCCGCGTAGTTAGGTTCCACACAAACTAGTCCAGTCTGTCTGTCTGTCCCACACACTGCCAATACTGCCAGTGAAGATGTACGATAGTAGCATGCTTCAGATAATGCCAAAGGCATTTCAAAAACCAGTCACAAAGCAAGTCTAGACATGTAACAAACGTTAGTTGAATAACAGCCAATATGTAAGTCCACTGACATTGTCACAGAGCAAAGGGTCTGGGCGCTGGCGAGAGTGTGCGATGTGAAACACAAACGGAGCACAACTGCGGAGGATTAATAATAACAACAATGGCAATAATAATAATAACAAGAAGCTTGACAGTGACCAGGAGCGGCTTGGGCCTAAAGGCCTGGCTCACCAGGGCCCGTGCTGTTTGTGTCGCTCGCGCCCCCTGGTGGCAGACTTCGGGGTCTCCAGAGGGAGAAGGAAAAAAATCCCACAAGCAGAACTGCTGCTTTCCAGAAACTTCAAAGAAACGGTACTCAAGATTTCCCCTGGCACTGTGTCCTTGTATAATGTATGCCTGAGAGACAGGGACAATTTAAGCATACTATTAAAATATCATAACCTATTTTTAATGTGCAAGCTCTAGCCACCTGAGGGGAAAAGCTCCAAGAGTTTTACAATTGAAAGGGGAAAAAAAAAAAAGCGTTGCCAGCGTTGAATGAACTCAGGAAAATCATGCAGAATAATTTCAGCCAGTCAGTTTAAGGAAATTCGGGAAGCTTTGTGTGTGTGTGTGTGTGTGTGTGTGTCCTGAGGCTTGAGCTCACGGACTGGGACTCTGTCCCTGAGCTTTTTGGCACAAGGCTAGTGCTTTACCATGTGAGCCACAGCTCCACTTTCGGCTTTTTGCTGGCTCACTGGAGATAGGAACCTCATAGACACTCCTGCCCAGACTGGCTTCAAATCCTGATCCTCCGATCTCAGCCTCCTGAGCAGCTACGATTATACAGGTGTGAGCCACTGGCACTCAGCACCTTGTTTTCATTTGTTTCTTGTTAGAAAAAGATCTCAGCTTCCTAAATAGCAAGGATTACAGGTGGGAGCTCCGGCGCCCGGCTTAGTGACCCATTTTGAAATGATGGGCACAAATGAATAGACACGAGCTGGCGTGCGGACACAATGAACGGATGTGTGGACTGGTGGTGGGCACGGCCCCAGCCACGCGTGACCCAGGACCGTGAGACCACACCAGCTCCTCACTGTCATCCCCAGCGGCTCTGCTCACCCCGCCACGGATGGCACCTTTTAAGAAACTGCTGGAACTCAGTCCCATGCAACATTCCGAATTTCAAAGGAATATCCACCCTGTGTGTCTATCTATTGAGGTAAGGAGCAAGATAGTGCCAAATCAAGCATAAGGTGACCCGGTGCTCTGTGACATCACAGAACCGAACAGAGCCAAGGACGGGCAGGAGACACTAACCGCGGATGGACAATTCAGAGCCGGGTCACCCCGGAACGAAACATCATTGCTTCAGGACATTCACGCATGCTCAGTGCCAAAAAAAGGTAACTCAGGGTTTAGCTAGAGGTCAAAGATGGAATTCTTAAACCGATTATTATGCGGAGTTCTTTCTCTTTCTTCCTTTCTTTCTCTCTCTTTCTTTCTTCCTTTCTTTCTATGCTTCATTCTGTGTCTTGGTTGCCAGTCCTGGGGCTTGAATGCAGGGCCTGGGCGCTGTCTCTGAGCTTTATCGTTCAAGGCTGGCGCTCTACCACTTGAGCCACAGCTCCACTTCTGGCTTTTTGGTGGTTCATTGGAGATCAGAGTCTCGTGGACTTTCTTGCCCAGGCTGGCTTTGAACTGCGATCCTCAGATCTCAGCCTCCTGAGTAGCTGGGCTGACAGGTGGGAGCTACTGAATACTGCTAAAGCTTAGTTCTTAAAAGTACTCTATCAACATCAGAGAAGATAAAAGCTTTTCACAGCAAAACATCCTGCTTTTGTCATGAACGTGACCGTGAATGCAAACTCAATTTCAAGCTTCTTAGAATGCCTTAAGAAAATGGCTCCCAGTATAACCAACCTGACAAAACATGAGATCTGTAAGGCAACTAGACCAGCCCGCCTTCCTCTCTCTCCTGCTCTCTCCTCGTTGCTAAACTGAAATTCCTACACATTTCTTTCAATTCAGCCTTTTCCGTTCACATTATGAGGCTCTGGCACTAAGTCTGTGCTGGTGGCTCACGCTTGTAATCTCAGGCGGCTGAGATCTGAGGATCGTAGCTCAAAACCAGAGCAGGTAGGAAAGTCCATGAGGCTCTTATTTCCAATTAAAACCAAAAAGCTAGAAGTGGAGTTGTGGCTCAAGTGGTAGAGTACTAACTAGCATTGAGAGAAAAATCGAACAGATGGTACTCAGGCTCTGAGTTCAAGTCCCAGGTCTGCCACCAAAAGAAACAGCAGAGGGGTCGGGGTGGTGGCTCCCGCCTGTCATCCCAGCTACTCAGGAGGCTGAGATCTGAGGATCACGGTTCAAAGCCAGCCTGGGCAGGAAAGGTCTTGAGACTTTTATCTCCAATGAACCACTCAGAAAACTGGAAGTGGTGCTGTGGCTCAAGTGGTAGAGCGCTCGCCTTGAGCAAAAGAGCTCAGAGACAGCGCCCAGGCCCTGAGTTCAAGACCCATGACGACGAAAGAAAGAAAGAAAGAAAGAAAGGAAGAAAGAAAGAAAGAAAGAAAGAAAGAAAGAAAGAAAGAAAGAATAAATAGCAGAGGGGTGCAGGTATACTTCAAGATGATTTGTGAACTGTTATTCTTAATTCAAAATTAGCTTATGTAAATACATCTTACTGTATTCAAACTAGCCCATCACGAGCAGATTGTGAGCCTGAGCTCAGCCAATCAGAGCAGAGGGGCGGGGCCTGCTGCACTAGGTCTAAACAGGGGAGTGGCCGGCCTGAGAGGATGGCAGTTCAAAGCCAGCCTGGGCAGGAAGAGTCCATGAGACTCTTAGCTGCAACGAACCAACCAAAAAGCCGCACACAGCTTTCTGGCTGAGGGCTGGACCCCTGGCCCGGCTGATCGTTCGTGTGCACGGGGGACTCCCGTGACAGGCGCCCTCCCTCTGGACACACACCCCCTCCTAGGCCCCCACTCCCCACACCTCTGCTATGGCTCGGAGGAGCTGTGTTGAAAGGCTACTCGCGTCTCTGATTTGGCTTTCCTCCAAGCTGCAGGCGTTTGGGAATAATCAAAGAAATACAGAACCTCAGGGACTGTACACTTTTGAAGGCTGTCAGGAAAGCTCAATCGTGGAACATTTTACACAGGGGAAACTGAGGAATGAGCCCGAGTTCTCAAACCATCTCTACCGCAAGGCTGGTCGCCACTCTCTGGGTGCATTTCCCTCCACCTCCCTCCTGCCACAGCAACAGAGATTCCAAGGAACTGTCTTACTGTGATTCAGCCCACGCAAATGTTTCTCACGTTGTTCTTTAGCTCACAATATATCATATGAAGTGGACACTGGTGATGTGGGCCTGTCATCCTACTCAGGAGGCTGAGATCCGAGGATCGTGGTTTGAGGCCAGCCCAGGTAGAAAAGCCCGTGAGACTCTTACCTCCAGGGAACCACCAGAAAACCGGAAGTGGTGCTGTGGCTCAAGTGGTAGAGCATCAGCCTTGAGTAAAAGAGCTCAGGGACAGTGCCCAGGCCCTGAGTTCAAGCCCCGGGACTAATACCGAAATACAATCTAACAAAAACATTTTATACTAAGAAACACATAATCATTAGTCATAAATTACCTTTGAAAGCTATTAGTATAGACAACGCAAATTATCTGAGATTCTCTGTAATCATTAACAAATAGTAAACTTCAGCCAGTAAAGAGCCCAACTTGAGAAATCTCATTGTGGGTTGGATTTTTAGGGTGCTTTCCTGCTTGTGTTTCTTGTTAATGGTCCCTAAATGTGATTCTCAGTTCTACCAAAAAAGCAAACTACCCCCTCTCCAACAACAAAATAGTGCTTTGGGAGTAATCCTGCATAAATACAAGTTTCTATATAAAGGAGCTATCTTTATCATAGTTGCAAGGTTCATGTTTTCTGTTCTAGAAATTACATTTGATTCAGACGTCTGAACTCAGCTTACCTTTGAAGTTGATTTTCCCCCTCTATTCTTTTAAAGAAGTGAAGGCTCTACAAGAGTCTCTCTTTAGCTCTTCTTTTGTTCTCTATTTAATTCTATTTTTCTCCTACTCGTGGGACTTGAACTTGAGGCTTGGGTGCTGTCCTTGAACTCTCTTTTGCTCAAGGCTAGCCCGCTACCATTTTGAACCACAGGACCAATTCTGTTTTTTTGGTGGTTCATTGGACATAAAAGTTTCATAGTCTTTCCTGCCTGGGCTGGCTTTGAACTGTGATCCTCAGTTCTCAGCCTCCTGAGTAGCTGGGATGACAGGCGTGAGTCACCAGCATCTGGCTCTACTTAATTCTTTATTTAGAATTCTGGTTACTAAAATGGAAAGATGGCTGAAGTTGGCAGGTTAGGAAAACCAGAATATGCCTGAAGGTGTCTTTTCACTTTTAAATGACAACACAAAAATGCATTTTCTCACACAGACTGATAAAGAACCTACCGGTAAACAAAGTGAATTTAAAATGATTCCCCTTTACATACGAGCTGGTATCAGATAAAACAATTAACAAGTAGAAATAATCGTTTGACTACTATTGCAATCCCATACAAATTAGAATAGCTGCTTTGAGTCTTAAATAGCAAAAGCATTGTTTCTTAGACTAAAAACTTTAGGGAAAAACCCACAGACTTCACTTTCTGAGTTCTGGTAAGTGTCAGACATTTGAGAAAAAAAAATTTTTACCACGAAAATTACCCTGAAATCAGAGGGGAAGTAGAATTTTAAAACAAACAAGAAACAACAACAAAAAAAAAACCCTGCCTGCTACCTTCCTCTATAGTCTATACAGACCGAAACAGACATACTGCTATTAAATTAAGGGTTAATTACTTCGCATCTGACAATGGGACTGTCTTATAAATACCTATGTATTTGATCCTAGCAAGAACACACAGAAAACAGAATAGACCAATCCTAGAGTTGTCCCATAACCTGCCCCGTCCCCTTCCATCTGTTCTCTCAAGAAAAACCCCTGCGCCTAGCTCTGGTGCTCACGTCTCTAATCCCAGCTACTCAGGAGGCTGAGATCTGAGGATCAAGGTTCGAAGCCAGCCTGGGGGAGGAAAGTCCGTGAGACTCTTATCTGCAATAAACCAGCAAAAGGCCAGAGGTGCAGCTGTGGCTCAAGTGTTAGAGCATTCACCTTGAGTGAGAGAGCTCAGGGACAGCAGCTAGGCCCTGAGTCAAACTCCAGTATTAGCACAAACATACACTCTCCCTCCTTCCCCCCCCCACAAACATGAGCCAGGAGACTCTTATCTCTAAAGAACCAAAAGAAAATCGGAAGTGGCGCTGTGGCTCAAATAGTAGAGCACCAGCCTTGAGCTGAAGAGCTCAGGGACAGCGTTCAAGACCCACAATCCAAAAACCACCCCCCAAAAACAAAACCCAAAACACCACACCGAAACAAACATCTGGGGGACGTCTATAAAAATCAAAAAACTTCTTGAAAGGTTTAGATGATTGCTGGAAAACACTTCCCCAACACCCGATGGTACAATTACCTTGGAAAAACCCCGAATTTCCCCAAAGAAAACAACCCCAATACATCTGAGGTTTGCAAACGCAATGCCGCATGGCAGATTGCTTTCATGCTTGCTGGTGACCATGCTGAGAAATCAAGAGAAATCAAGGCGAGAACTTAACTTCCTCTCAGTTATAAACTTGGAAAAAATACACGAGGGAGGGGCTGGAAGAGGAGCGTGTGACTCCACCAACCTTTGACTGCCGGGAACGGATGGGAAGGAAGAGAATCTGAACACAACTCCAGCGGAAACTGCAAAAGTTCTTCATTATCTGAAGAGCCTGTGGAGCCGAGAAAGATGCCAACCGGTGAGTGACCCTCTACTGTTAACACGGGGGAAAAAAATGAACAAACGGTTAGAAAGCAGCCGCTGGGTGCCAGTGGCTCACGTCTGTCATCCCAGCGACTCAGGGGGCTGAGATCTAGAGGATCGTGGTTCAAAGCCAGCGCAGGCAGGAAAGTCCGTGCAACTCTACCTCCAATAAACCACCAGAAAAATGGAAGTGGCCGCTGTAGCTCAAGTGGAAGAGTGCTAGCCTTGAGCTGAAGAGTTGAGGAATGGTGCCCAGACCCTGAGTTCAAGCCCCACAACCAACAAAAAAAAAAAAAAAAAAATTAAAAAAATAGAATGTAATCACAACTTTAAAATGTTTAAGTGAATCCGGAATATTAAGCCAAGAAGTCCCTTCCAATTTAACCAGTAGTATATGTCCAACTCTTCTGTTGTTTTTAAGTTTTGTTTTCTTCAGAACAGCTTCAAATCATTTTCTTTTGAGTATATTGAGTAAAATTGGTATTTCCCAAATTGTACTGCATTTGGGGACATCTCAAGGGATCTCTTGAATATGTTGGGCATTTTCCTAACAACCATTTCCATGAGCACATCGGTGAGTTGGCATGGGACTTTACAATATCCTCAGAGAGCGTGGTATAGAAGCCCTTAGACTGCCAGGCACTGGTGGCTCGCTCCTGCAGTCCCAGCTATTCAGGAGGCTGAGATCTGAGGACCATAATTAGAAGCCAACCCCAAGAAAGAAAGTCCGTGAGACTCTTATAGCTAGTTAAACACCAAAAAAATCCTGAGTAGAAGTTTGGTTCAAGTGACATAGCATGAGCCTCTAGCCAAAAACAAAAACCAAGACACAAAAAGCAGCCAGAGACGGTGCCCAAGCCCTGAGGTCGAGCCCCAGGACCAGCACCAAAAAATAGAAAGAGCGGAAAAAAAGACATTACTGCAGGACTAGGAAGGTGGCTCAGTGCTAGAGTGTTTGCCTAGCATGCAGGAAGTCCTGGGTTCGAGTCCTCATAAACACAGAAGCCGGGAGTGGCGCGGTGGCTCAAAGTGGTAGCGCGCTAGCCTAGAGCTGAAGAGCTGAGGGACAGCGCCCAGGCCCTGAGTTCAGGCCCCATGACTGACATAAAAGAAAAAAAGAAAGTGCCATGTTTTAATTAATTAATTGAATGCCAGGTTCAATTTATCTGGATCACCCCTACAAGAAATATACCCACTTGTCCCGTTGATTTAACGCGCAACTCCGCTGTAGACAAGTGTGTGTCAGCGGGCCGCCCCAGACTCACCTCTCTGAAGCGACTTCTCCGTGTGTGTGCTCGTGGTCTGTAAAGCCTGGTTCTTGTCAAACGTAATCGCGACGGCAGTGACGGTGACCTGTGACGCCACACACAATACGATCAGCGGGGGACGCGGGGGACACGGATCTCCCAACTGGGTCCATTTCTGAGGAGACTCCTCCATCACAAGGAATTCTGCTGGTGCTGGTGAACTCCAAGAGACAGCACAAGCTCTTGGCAAGAAACTGGAGCCGGTGCTCACGCCTGCAATCCTAGCTACTCAGGAGGCTGAGATCTGAGGATCGCGGTTCAAGGCCAGCCCAGGCAGGAAAGTCCACGAGACTCTGATCTCCAATAAACCACCAGAAAACCGGAAGTGGCGCTGTGGCTCAAGTGGTAGAGTGCTAGCCTTGAGCTGAAGAGCTGAGGGACAGCGCCCAGGCCCAGAGTTCAAGTCCCATGACCAACCCCCCCCCCAAAAAAAAGATCTTTTAATACCAGATTGAGCGCTAATTACCTGAATTAATTCATCTTCAGGCAATGAGACTGTGAAGTTCACGTGACAAAGGCAGCACGGAATCATGGACCGGAGTTTAAAATACAGACTCTGCGGGGTAACAAGGGCTAAGATTACTTTATGTCATTACAGTTATCAAAGTTGACTTCTTTGTTAATGATACTTGGACTTTCTTTAAGTAGTTCTTCAAAGGGGTTACAATTCAAACAGGTCAGTTTAAAAGCTGCTTTTTGCCACTGTAACTGCACGATAACAAATAAGAAGTAGGAAGGATGAAAACACACGGATGCACTTAGCTTTTGTCTCCTCTTGCATGGAAAATACATTTTCAAACCAGAGACAGGTGGCTCATGTCTGTCATCCCAGCCACTCAGGAGGCTGAGATCTGAGGATCATCCTTTGAAGCCAGACCAGGCAGAAAAGTTTGTGAGACTTTTTTCTCTAATTAATCACCCAAAAGCAAAAAGTGGAGCTCTGGCTCAAGTGGTAGAACACCAGCCTTGAACAAAAAAGCTAAAAGACAGCCTTCCAGGCTCTGAGTTCAAGATCCCAGTACCAGCATACATACATGACTTAAGCAGATAATATAACAACTGTGCTTAGCAAGACGTTTAAAAAAGTTCACAAACATGTTAGACACTTATGAGAATTTTTAGCTACTTCTTTACACTTCTTATACTTTTTCTTGTATAACATAATCTCTTAAAGCTGGGCGCTGGTGGCTCACACCTGTCATCCCAGCTACTCAGGAGGCTGAGATCTGAGGATCTCAGTTCAAAGCCAGCCTGCGCAGAAAAGTTCATGAGACTTTTATCTCCAACAAACTATTCAGAAAAAGCCTGAAGTGGCGCTGTGGCTCAAGTGGTAGAGCGCCAGCCTTGAGCTGAAGAGCTGAGGGACAGCGCCCAGGCCCAGAGTTCAAGCCTCACCACTGACAAAACCTGCAGCTATTTAAGATATTGCAGACAATAAAACAGATCATTCTTGGCTTTTATTATCTTTCCTTCCTGTTTTAGTTTCTTTTTGGATTACAATGCATCAGCCATGACGGGAGTCACTGTGGTAATCCATAGACGAATGCATCGACTTCCAGTATGCTAACCCCCTCCCTGTTACAGTCCCAGCCTCCCCCTCCTCTCCTTCTTCCTCTCTCTTTCTTTCCACTCTTTGCTACCTTTCCTTTCCCTCACCACTTCCCACGGTCTGACCTCTAGACAGTGCTCTTTTATAGCCACTTATCCCCATCAACATCACCATCATCATCATCATCACCATCATCATCATCATCATCATCATCATCATCATCACCATCATCATCACCATCATCACCATCATCATCACCATCATCATCATCACCATCATCATCATCACCATCATCACCATCATCATCACCATCATCACCATCATCATCACCATCATCATCATCACCATCATCATCACCATCATCATCATCACCATCATCACCATCACCATCATCATCATCATCACCATCATCATCATCACCATCATCATCATCACCATCATCATCATCACCATCACCATCATCATCA